CAATATAACTTTCACATCATTACTCAAGTATATCTCCAATTGCATGCAAATGTATAGGAATCAATTCAAAACCAGTCAAATTATATGATTACTTATTTATTGTTTATGGCAAAATATTTGTGCGATGAGCATTGTTTTTTTATTCTTGGAATGTAAGACTACATCTTGTTAATTATATACAATAAGAATTTTTAAAAATATATAACATCTAAAAAATTATGTATAAAACATAAAAAACATAAAATAAATAATGTCAGTAGCATTATTTCAACAAATAGTATCCTCATTGAGTTTTGCATTAACCTGCCTACATATGTACACACACATGCACACACACACACACACTCTCATGCACACACACACACACAACACACGCACAACACACAACACACGCACACACACACACACACTCTCACACACACACATACACACACGCACACACACACAACACACGCACACACACACACACAACAACGCACACGCACATACACACAACACACGCACACGCACATACACACAACACACGCACAACACACACACACACAACACGTGCACACACACACACACACAACACGCGCACACACACACACAACACGCACACACACACACAACATGCGCACACACACAACACGCACACACACAACGCGCACACACACAACACGCGCACATACACACACACGGCACACACACACAACACGAGCACACACACACACAACACGCACACACACACACACACACACAACACGCGCACACATACACACAACACGCGCACACATACACACAACACGCGCACCATACACACAACACGCGCACACACACACACACACACCACAACACACACACACACCAACACACAAACACACACACACAGCACACACACACACACCACACACACACACACACACAACACGCGCACACACACACACACACACACACACACACACACACACACACACACACACACACACACACACACACACACACACACAACAACGCGCGCGCGCACACACACACACACAACACACACTTACGCGCGCACACACACACACAACACACACACCACACACACACACACACACACACACACACACACACACACACCCACACACACACACACACACACACACCACACACACAACATGCACGCGCGCGCACGCACACACACACACACACACACACACACACACACACACACACACACACACACACACACACACACACACACACACACACACACACACACACACCTGATAAAGTTAAGGAGCCAGCAATGTCATTCCTACACAATGATTGATCTTAAAATTACTATTATATTTTAATTAAATATACAAATCCTTGGTACAAGTTACTCTACATACCTATAAAGTCTGCTCTTTTGGCTTCTACATATTATATATAAGATACAATAATATTACACAGTGTAAATAACTCTCAATATATCAATATAAATTATACTTATAGTCTTATAGCTTTATTTTCATGTATATTTAAAGGAACATTTAAAGTTTATAAGGAAATTTAAAAATGGAATAATGAAAACTATTTAACTAATCTTCATACACTACTTACAGAACTCTCTCTTATTATCAAAAAAAATACTAACTCCAGTATGTCTTTCAAGTGTCTTTGTAAATGACTCTCACGGAAAAATGCTGCACCACAACGATCACACTTATATGGTCTCTCAGCTTGATGCCTTCTTTCATGTGATTCAAGAATAGATTTATCTGAAAATGTCAAACCACATTTCTCACATTTATAAGGTCTGTCTATGATGTGTTTCTGTCGATGACTTTTTAAATGACCATTCGTATTGAATCCAGCACCACAAAGATCACATTTGAAGGGTTTTTCTAAAATTATTTTCTTCCGTGGAATTATCTGACCACTAGCTTCCTGTTGTCTTGCAAGGATATGAAATGGATTATTGTCACCCATGTTATGTTATTTTGCATATGTGATTTTAGACTTGCACTGTGCATAAACACTGATCCACAGATGTCACAACGAAATGTCCTTCTTCACCATCTAATTTTCTCTTGCCTAATAAATCTGACAAAATTCCACAGGATGAAGATGCTGTTGCATTAACATGAGTTGGCACAGAAGTATAAATATGTGAATTAGGTGTTGTATTTGTGCCTGGAGGCTTCTGTACACACAGACAATGAAAGCAGTACCTGAAGCTACTGAATTTGTAGCTGTCATTAATCTGGTAAATTGAACATGTTGGAAAAATTCTGTACACTTTGCTGATGGTAAATATTTGCCATATTTACAACAATTGCTGGACTTTGTGAGCTTTCTCCTATTCTGTGTTTTCTTTTATGCCACACTAGCATACTATTCTGCAGAAATTGTGCACCACATTCATCACACTTAAAGGGCATTTCACCAGTATGACTCTTCTTATGCCATTCTAAAGTACTGTTATATGAAAATTTTGCACCACAGTCATCACATTTGTAAGGCTTTCTTCGAGAATGAAGTCTTAAGTGCT